TCTCCTATTTGTCTTGCTCCATGACCTTCCACAACCCGCTGGCCAATCGGGTGACTTGAAGGTTTCCGAAGCGTGTCGCAGTCTGGCCAACCGCAAAGACACGAAGCGAACAGCTCGCGCTGCCTGGCGGCAGCAACAGAACTGTTACTGAAACGAAACCGTGAAAATGCCTGTTCTCCAGCGTTTACCGCGGTAACTGTGACTGGAAACGAGACTCGGCAGTTAGAAACCAGAAAACATCAGCGGTTAGCTGAAATAAAACAGAAACAATACCAAGAAAAATCAATAACAGAAAGTAACCTCGTTTTCGACAAGAACCTTGCATGGGTTATTGCACATCTGGGTTTTTCAAGGTAAACAGAACAGTTTTGAAAGTCCTGCTTCTGTGTTCATTGTATATTCATAAAATGATAGTGGAAACAATGTATAGTGCTCAATTATCGTAAACAGCCTATATTTGAAGTTTTCCCCCATTTTACTGTTTACCTCCGCCCCCTCTCTTTCAAATCAATGCTTTAAAGTAAATAATTATTTCAAATACATTCAATAATCTAAGTAAAATATTATTTAGTAACGCAAAGATGTACATTTAAATATTTCATATTATTTTAATACAAAACGTGCCCCCCCCCCCCCCCCAAATTAGTTATCTCAAAGTGTATTAAACATTTTTCGTATTAACTTTTCCCTAACATTCATTGCTGTAGGTAGAATTTAATTTACAAATTAATGCATTCGATTTTAATCTGTGCTTCGACCCGAAACAATAAAGTGTTAAGTCTGGATTATTTTGTTAGCCTGCCACAAGGATAGCAAAAAAAAAAGACAGTTTTGAAATTTGGACATTCTTGAAATGGAACAAAATGTGTTTGCATGCTATACTCTACAAATGTTCTGTGCACTCGTATGTTTGTTGTGATCTATGCGAGTACTCAACACGCGTTAGGGCAAAAAGAAATGATTTCGTTTAAAACAAAAAAGGAATCTTCATGGACTGAAAGTCTGCCACGATGCCACCATTTGTGCTGCCAGAAGGAAAAATATATCCTCTGAGCTCTTTCTTTTGGGAAGAGATTACAAGATCCGAATTATTTCGTACGCTTAGACATTAGTAAAAATCTAAAAATGTTAGAAGAAATAACTTAAATTTTTATACACTTAGCTACCTGATATAAGGAACTAATTCGATGTAGTAAATCATATATATGTCAACTTAAAATTGACTTCTTCAGTTTTATATTGCCTTAATTTTGAAGAATATCGAAGAAACGGCAGCACATATTATGCATTATTGTTGTCCTCCCTTAGTCTGTATTTAAGTTATAATTTCTATACCGTATGTGGAAATTTGCTGCAAATAATGAGTTAAGAGGCTAGTAAGTAAAAACACGTGATGAGAACATGGAAAAGTTTTTATTTTGTTACATTGAAATACAGAGGACAATTGAGTAACACAACAAGCATATGTGTAGCGTCACGAAAATGTAAGTCGAAATCATGCCAATTTCTTATGGCAGGTACTGATTACTGAAGGCAGTATCAGCCTTTGAATTTGAAACTGAATAAATATTTGATTAAAAGTTTATTTTAAAAAATTAATATTGAGACCAGAGTGCCTGGAAAATATTGGGACCAGAGCGCCTCGGCAATATTGAGACCAGAGTGCCTGGACAATATTGAGACCGGAGTGCCTGGACAATATTGAGACCAGAGTGCCTGGACAATATTGAGACCAGAGTGCCTGGACAATATTGAGACCAGAGTGCCTGGACAATATTGAGACCGGAGTGCCTGGACAATATTGAGACCAGAGTGCCTGGACAATATTGAGACCGGAGTGCCTGGACAATATTGAGACCAGAGTGCCTGGACAATATTGAGACCGGAGTGCCTGGACAATATTGAGACCAGAGTGCCTGGACAATATTGAGACCGGAGTGCCTGGAAAATATTGAGACCGGAGTGCCTGGACAATATTTGTACGGGCGAAGATCTACAACCACTGAGCAAACTCGTTGTTTTCATTAATTTTTAGTGAGTTTTCCTGTCCCTGCATATGGATGGACTCATATCGTGAAAACATATTTATAACGACAGATTGATAATCACCACGTTAAAATTAAAGGGAAGCTCAGCTACTGATATTTCCGTAAACTATTTATTTTTCTCCAAGAGTCCACACATGCAATGCCAACCTGGTCTACATTGCTCTGTACCACAACCTGTTCTTACGCACTGGTGGGCGGTTATTAGCTTTACAAGAATTTTTCGACTATTTATTCACCCTAATTCAAGGGAGTGGTGTCGGAGAATGTTATGTAAAATAATCCAGTTTCATTGGCTAGCGAAATCCTTTTACGTATAGGCTGTTCAAAGTATTTTGAGCGTTTTTTAAATCGACGTTTGAAAAATGTCATTGCCCCTACCTGCATATATTTGAAGGAGCGCACTGACGGGCGAGCTTCCGGTAAAGTTGGCAACCACGTACGGGAAGTAATCTTTAAACGTTTAATTAAAAATGTTAGTTAAACATGCTGAAGTGATCTATTTTGTTTAGGCGACTTTATTCTTGTATAGCTAGTTCTAAGAATTTGCTAGTTTGTTAAATACATACTTTCCTAGTAATTTATAGATTTACTTGACCGACGTATTAAGAAGTGACGAGGCCCATGGCAATGTAAATTTTACATATAGTGGAAGAATACGCAATGTGCATATCAGTAGGTATATGCTAAGCATGGTTTTTCAAAAGTGCTCAGTTTACAGTGAGAAACTTATACACCAGAATGGGGGCTATTTAAATTAAGATAAGGATCCTCTTTGTAAAATAATAGCAGCCCGCCATCGCTTCGCTCAGGTTTTATGGAGTAATTGAAATACATATGCGACTATCCGTGAATACCTGTGACCACCCGTGACTACCTGCGACTACCCGTGACTACATGTGACTAATCATGAATACCTGTGACTACCTGCGACTATCTGTGATTACCCGTGACTACCTGCAGCTATCCGTGACTACCCGTGACTACCTGTGTCTAATCGTGAATACCCGTGACTACCTGCAACTATCCGTGACTACCCGTGACTACATGTGACTAATCGTGAATATCTGTGACTACCTGCGACTACCCGTGACTAGCCGTGGCTACCTGTGACTAATCGTGAATACCCGTGACTACCTGCGACTACTCGTGACTATCCGTGACCATCTGCGATAACTTGCGACTACCCGTGACTACCCGTATGACTATCTGTGACTTCCCGTGACTGCCCGTAATTACTTGCGACTTTTTAAAACTAAGCATAGCCTATGTCCATCTGGAAGAACGTAGCTTTCTAACAGTGAAACAATTATAGGAAACTGTCCTGTAGTTTTGTTTGCGCATGCTTAGAAAGCAGCCAATTAGCTCATTTTTATCCGACTTGGTTTACAAATTTTTGGAATTTCTCACGATTTAAAAAAAAATTAAACATAGCCTATTTCATATGGAAGAATGTAGCTTCCTAAAAGTGAAACAATTATAAAAATCTGCCCTGTAGTTTCCGTGATCAGCCGTTGCATATAAACAAATAAATAAACTCAGATTACTTCTTTATTACATTAGTACAGATGTTTTGTATGTACTTCCGCAGGGTAAAGCTAGCTAAACATGCGAAGTAAAAAAAATTAGGGATAAAATCAATCAGTTGTACGAACAGTTTGTGGCCGCGGTGGGTTATCCAACTGATTGGGTTGGCAACTAAGGATGAGCTCATCCGAGGTGCGGTTCCCGACATGAACGACTCGTGCCGCTCCTCAGTGACGTACGGACGGGGAACTCATACTCACTCATGTTGACGCTGCCGTCTCCTTTGCCTCGTATGGGCACGACCAGGATCTTGCCGTCCATTTCGTACTGAGACGCCAATCGCAGTTCGGGCGTGCTCAACGCGATCTCGATGTGCTTCTTCTCCAGGTCGAAGCTGTGGACACACGCACATTCACTCGCTACGGTCGCTCGTTTCGTAATGCTGTAGCCATTCATGGTTACTTGAACATTTTCTGAAGCTCTCCAAGCTGTTCTCCTGCCTCGAGTAAACAAAACTTATCTAGTTCTAGAAAATTATACTAAAGGGATAATGCACCATATATGTGCGCAATCTGTATAATAATATTTTCCATGAGAACTATTTCCTACATGTCATTACCAACATGCCTATATTCTCCTTGATGCTATAATAAGGGGAAATATTATTATCTGTAGATAACATATAAGTAGGGACCTGCAAAGTTCGCGTTATTATTTGCGGACGTGTTAAGTTAATCTTAACCCATTCAGACCTGATGTTTACAATTGTGTACACTAAACACATTTAGATAATTTTTGGTCTGTACTGCACACTGCGAAGCTCAATCGCCAATGATCTTACCTGCTGGTAAATGATTCGCAAACCGCCTTACTAGTCTAGGTAATCATTAATTCAGATAACTCTAGCCGAACATAAAGCCTAAAGTTCATTGGCTGTGACAACGAAGCAAGTGTTGTGTCGACTCAAGTACAGCACGCATCATAATATTTTGTGTTTGCAACACCTGAAAACGTAAATTAAAGTCGGTCTGAAAGAGTTCAAAAGATTTTTATTTGCAATGCGTTTGTCTTTGTACCGGTATTTATTTTACACACCCCTGGTAACTCTGCGCCAATAAATGAACTCTCCACAACCGCGTGCCCCAATCACGTGCAGTTCGCTCAGAAAGGGAGTGACTTGACGTCAAGACAGCAGCCAATGTGTAGGGAAGACGCCGGCTAGAGTATACACAGTACTGTGAATTTTAGCTTGAGAAAAAAAAAAAAGCGATTTATGTAGGTATATGCAATAAGTAAAAGTTCAGTTTGAGCATTTGAGAACAAAATTTGTTTATTCTGCCACGTGCTACATGCTATTGCCATATTTCAGTGACACTTTAAAATACGTCGCTATCAAGAAGTAGAAGGCCGTATTGAAATATTCTAACTTGTTTCTGCCCGGGATCGAATCAGGGCCATTGCCCACGTGAGGCGCACGTGTTATTTCCCTACACTATGGAAACGACTTGAGAGTCTCGTTCGCCAATGCATATAATAATCTGCAGATTTAATATTAATAGAGCAAGTAAGTTCTGTCTGATATAGTTTAAAAACTTCTCCTGCGGTGTCCACACGTTATAAGTAATTCACTGTTTCTTCACACTTTTCGAATCAAACATTTGAAAAATTACCTCTTTCGTGACGTATTTGGTTGTTTCCTAAACATTATCACGTATGACAACCGTCCTAGGGCCTGTCTGCAATTGCGCTAGCCCAACCTGTGTCTTAGGACCAGGATGTGCTGATTGGCGCACGTGACCCTCTGACGTCACGGCGCTGTCCCAAGCTGCCGTGTCCCGAGTCAACCTGTGTCACAAGTTGAAGCATTCGGAAAACTGAATCTTTGTCGCTAGTTGTGTCCTAAGGTGATAGAGAAAGAGGACGACTTCAAACACTTTCGCGCGAATTCGTGAAATATTTACGTTATTAATGTAAACAATGTAAGTGAAAGGTGGGCTTTCTCAGAACAAATACGATGAAAGGGTAATTAATAATTAGGGACGTCTTCGCTCGGTGTGAACAATTTTCAAACCTGGGTTTAAAAAATAACATTTGGATGTCAGTTGGCGAACTTGTTAACAATAAAACCACTAAGGCGTTTATTATAAATAAATATTCAAATGAAACTATTTCGTGAACATTAAACAATCAATAATACAGCAAATTTAAACATCACTACGTAACAACAAATAATACGCTGAATTTAGTTCGATGTAATGCCAGACGCTGAAAGCTCACTTCGGACAACGAATTTGTAGAGCATATTCGGACGGCGTCAATGTGACGTCACTTGACGCCGAGTTTCGGACAATTCCACGCCCACAGGAACAGCCGAATGTAGACAGGGCCTTACACTTGTGTTAACAAAGGGGTAACTATCTTTATTTTTTATTTTCTGAACTTTCGCTTACATTATATATATATATATATATATATATATATATATATATATATATATATATATATATATATATATATATACACATTGTAATATTCAGTTAATAATTAATGTGAATAAAACCAGCCAGAAAATGAGAGTGTTGGTACTGCTTTAGTAATAAATATTTCTTATGCAAAATATTATTAACATGAACGCGTGCACATACAGTGTGTTGTTTTTATTGGTATAATTTTCTACCTTATTTTATTTTCATGAGGCGGAGGAATATACTGAAAGTAGAACTTTAGCAGGGCTTCAGAAAAGTTGGAAGTTACCTTGAATGGACTATATTTGAGAGTAGTTGAGTTGAGAGGTTTGGGCGACTCTCAATAACAAGGCCTTGAGAGACGATAAGGGTGAAATGAGGCGAGAATAGAGCAGAGCAGGAATGAAAGAATAGGTGAAACCGGAGATCCCCGAGAAAACCCGCCGACCAGCGGCATCGTCCGTCACGATTCCCACTTGGAAAAATCCGGAAGTGACCCGGCTGGGGATTGAACCCGCTTCGCCTTAGTGGGAAGCAAGCAGTCTAACCACTCGGCCACCGTGGCCCTTTATTTGAGAGTAGGTACACACAATGATTTTGTTTTGCCAACGTATTTTCTGAGAAACTTTAGCGCTGCACATATACACAGACCACATTCTAATTTTTCATGAATAAATAAGTAAAATGATTCTTCTATATAATATAATTTAAAGCTTATTTACGGTCGACCGTTGACATTTCCTTAGTAAAGAGACTTTTGTTATTTTAGCCTTGCTGCAGAAGTAGGTATATGTTTGATTCTGCTTCTGTATAGTTTTTTTTCCAACGAAAAATATGTTATTTGAAATTTGATGTCTAAATCTGGTTTCATATTGATTGTACACACCAGTTCAAGAAGGAAAGACGAGGAATTTAGGAGTCAGTAAAATTATTGTTAAGAACACTTGTCCAGTTATGAATGGTGAAGTAGATAAAGTTTAACTCGAACTCATACAGAAGAAAGATAATGTTTTCTGACATATCAGCCAAAAGTATATTTCTAGTGAGTGTCTTGTATTAAATACACGGCAACCTTAAAGATCTACTGTGCTACTTTCTTTCAGATTTCTCTGCTTTGTTAGTGACCGTTTCTATTGGAACGTTACTCGGAAATGCCATAGAAGAATGTTTTAGACTATAAAATAAATATCTATAAAACCTGATATTACTAAGATTTTTTTGTATTTTTCGGGTTACACTCAAAAGTATCCCAACAAAATTAAATATGGAAAGGTTAATGAAAGGAACTTACTAAATGAGATTGATATGAAATATATTTAACAATGAATTAATGATCAACCATAGATATGTAATTCGCACAGTCACAGAACACTTCACTGTGAAATACACCTCCGGTCATATGTACGTACAGCATGTATGGTGGACCTGAACTATAGATTTTGACCATTACGTGCTACTTCAACAGGTGGCAGCAACTTTGCTACTATAGGCTGTTCACGATAAAGTGAGCACTTTTTAAGGCCCTCCAACAGGCATTCATAACTAATAAAAATATGTTTTATTGCAGGATCAGACATTAAATTTTCCCAGTGTTGAAAACACACACCGTATTTATTAATCACATGACAATGCTGATATTATAAAGTGGCGGAAAGATGTATACTGGCTTAAATAAAAAAATTTAGAAGGGCCTTAAAATTTTCTCACTTTACCGTGAATATGCTATATCTGTAACACCCATGTGTATGAAGCGGCGTAGCTTAAGAGGAATGGTGCATGGAAACAATATGTTTACCCGATTTTCGATATAAGTCGTTTTCCGAAGGTTTTATAGACATTTTTGGCTCGACAAGAAATAAATAATAATTTTCAACATCTTTTTACATTGTTAGATATCCACTGCCTTCATTATTGTCGGAGCACTGCTGGAAAAAAAGAAAAAAAAAATTCTTATCGTCAATCAGTGCTCCGTGAATAACGAACGCAGCGAATTTGTAACAATCTAAGAAAGTGTTAAAAATTGTTATTTACATTTTCTCAAGCCAGAAATTTCGAAAAACCGTATGTAAAACAAGTTGTGACAAAATTATATAAATATACGGTTTCCATGCACCATCAGTCTTAAAGCTTAGATACATACATCGGGCTCCCAAGTTGACATGTGGAGGCGCACGAACGCTAACAAAGAACGAGGCACACAACTGGCGGGGCGACAGAAGGCACGTGTGAAGGGAAAACGAGAGGGAGCACCCGGAAAAAACCCGCCGGCGAACGGCAGAGTCCGCTGCGTATCCAACCTGCGAGAATCTGGGTAAACTCCCGCCGGTAGTCGAACCCCTTATCATATTTGTGGGATGTCGATGTGCTAGAATCTCGGATGCAGGTGGCCCCATTATATTTTTCCGACGTCCTGCTAAAGCTCTACTATCATATTGGCCTCTACCAGCCCTGGCTACAAGAGCTGCTCTCTACAGATCCGCTTTCTGTACCTGAACTCTGGGGCATTACCATTTAATGTTACATTTTTCTCTCACTTATGTCATAAAATGTCCTCTTATTTCTTCTTGCATAACCTGTTTCACCATCAACAGACAATTATCTAAATAGATTATATACTTCGTACCATTTAAATTCACTGATTGGAGTGCCACCATTGCAGACCGAATCAATTACCCATAAAGAAAGTAACCTAAAATTATATTTCGAAATAATCTATTTCCCCGCAAAAGAAAATCATTGTGAAGAATGGACTGTGTGATATATGTTATCTTTAATGGGTTTTAGCAGCAGTAGTTATGTAAATTGTGTTTGGCTATTAAAGAGATAAAAAGACTCATTTGGAATTTCAAGTTATTCAAGATGTTTATTTATGTTTGGTATATTTTTCATCATGAAAAGCAGTAAGTTTATCAAAAAGTAATTATAAATTCTATGCAATCGTTTAAAGATATTTTGTTTTAAGAACCCAAGTAGTTACAGAAATAGAGTCGGAGATATATTTGATTTAAGAGTCGTCCCGTATAAATTTATGAGAGAATTTATATTAAAATAACAGTCAAACACTTATTTACATTTATAAAATTACAATTAAAATAATTTAATTGAATATAAAAGTTCACTTTACTGCTTTGCAGGATGGTGATAGTCTGTGGTTTCCTATTCGTATCATAACATCATTTGCCTTATATTGAAATTGTATTTTATAAAAACCACCAACGTTATATATAAATTCTGTCCGTAGGATTTGGTATACCTCTGAAAATAAACAAAATTAGATGTGTATGAATATATTAGAATGATTTCATTTGACGAATGTTAATTGTATTGCCGGTGCTACTCACAATGGCTATGAATGTGTAGTTTTTACAAACGTAAACAACCTATAACCAAAAAACCTATAACCTTTCTCCATTAGAACGGATTTTCCTAACAAAAGAGCACAATGAGTTATTTGGAGGCGCGCGTGTCCATTATTTGCGGTACAGTGCAACATTGCAAGGTCGATATGCAAGAATACAGCTGCGACCAAAGAAGCCCATATTTTTAACTTTGTTGTAATCCAAATATCTTGACTGGGAAACAAGCGCTATCTCAAGTAAGACCACGTGTATTTATAAAAAGAAGCTACACAAATCTAAGAATAAGCACGGAGGAAAACAGCACACGAATACAGACACTAAAGAAATGTTGTAATTACAATAATACACCCGACATGACAACAAGCCATGGGATAGCAGTATACCGAGATAATAGTTGGTGGCGCCATCCCACCGTGACGTATTGGAAGTTCCCGGACCTGCATCGGTTGTGCTCCGCATCGCGAGAGAGAGAGAGAGAGAGAGAGAGTGTGTGTGTGTGTGCTGGTCACGGCACTGCACTGCAGCCCTTCATGGACACACACACACACACACAACGACGGGGAGTTCCAGCTGAACAATGCACCGCGCTATCGGGCCAAGAAGTCCAGAACTGACTGATTCGAGCAGCATTCTGGAGAGTTTCAATGACTGCTGAGAAACATCTCGCCCGCCAGGTGG